AACCCTACTGTAACAGAGTAGGCGCCCTGCCCTCGAAATCAATACTACGTGACTTCTCTGCCTATACCAAAAGGTAAGCACAAGAATACTTAAGCAAGTATTCGTTGCGTAGGATAATATATATAGACAATAATAGTGCTAGCCAGCTAGCTTTGCCTCTAGCTGCTATGAGCGCTATGCCACGTGTCGTGCTCGTGCATAGTTGTTACACCTACAGAACACCCTATTATTTAGGTCGCAATTAAAGCTAATTTAAGAGACAATTTAGCAACATAGCAATAGCTCTCTAACTTCTATAGTTAATACCCTTTATTAGCTCACTAAAGGCGCAGAGATAATAGCGCATTTATTAGTTTTAGTGCGCAACTAGGTTGCAGAGCTTTAGGCTGCTAATGAGGCTGCTACACGCTGTAAATCACACAAAAGAAAGCAGATCTAGAGGGAGGGGTCTCTTATAATAAGCAAAAGAGTGCGCTTAACTACTCTAAAGGAGTTTAAAGCCTGTAGTACTAGAAAGAAGGCAAGCAAGAAGAGGCGTGTTAAACTAGGCACTTAGTCTTCACAACGCTGTGGCAGATGTAGTAGGCAGGGCACAACGCGCGAACGTGCATAAAAGATGCGAAAGATACTGTAGATTAGTGCTGTATACTGTAAGTTACAGTAAGTTATAGTAACTTACTGTAACGTGAGTGTATAGCGAGTCGGACAGCTAAGCGAGTCGGACACCCTAACAAGCTGTTAAGCCTACCAACCTTTAAACCACAATAGATCAACCACCCAACCTTGAATTGCTCCCAAAAGAAGATAGGGTTAAGCTTGCACTCTAAGCAACAAAGAATCCCCAAAATCTCAGCGTGCGACGCGCTGCTGACGTCTACAAAGTGCCAAAATCGACTCTCTAAGACCGACGCGCTGGGAAGCAGTCAACACGCGATACCCACCCCAAATCATCAGCTCTGACTAAGACAGAAGAGCAGACGCTTGCGCAGTATATTAGGAAGCTTGACGAGCAAGGGCATGCCCCAACGCTCTATTGGGTTGAAGCTATGGCTAACCAACTGCGCGCTGCACGTGACGCAGGACCTGTCGGTCCGCGATGGGCTTCAAACTTTGTTAAACGCGAACCTAGACTCTAATCGCGTATAAGTTGACAGAGGGATCGCTAGAGAGTCCTTTGCAGCGACCAAGGGGTTATTAGACCCTAGTTTAACCTGGTACAGAACGTTAAGGCCAAGTACAGCATCCAGGACGAAGATACCTATAACTTTAACAAGACTAGCTTTACTATAGGCATTAGAAATTGCGTTAAAGTAGTCACTACATCAGAGAGACGCACAGATCCTATTAGAGTCCAGCAGGGAGACCGTGAGTGGGTGATGTTGATTGCTGCAATCAACGCGATGGGCTAGGCAATTGCGCCCTACCTTATCTTTAAAGCAAAGAACCACAACGCGTCTTAGTACCCTAATTTAAAGCCCTAATGGCGCATTGGGGTTAGTAACAACGGCTGGACTACGAACGACATTGGTGTAGCCTAGCTAAGGCACTTTGTTGAGCAGATTCAGGGCCGGAGGGTGGGTAGCCACGTGCTGCTGATAATTGACGGCCATGAGAGCCACAAGTCGCTTGCCTTCCAGAATCTCTGCGAGGAGAATAAGATAATTACCCTGTGTATGCCTCCACACTCATCTCACATCCTACAGCCACTTGATGTGGGTTGTTTTGCCCCCTTAAAGCGGGCGTACAGCAAAGAGATTAGAGTCTTGGCACTAGACCATATTGGCTAGATTAACAAGAAAGCCTTTCTTGCAACCTTTGCAAAGGTGTTTAACAAGGCGTTTTTAAAGGCAAATATCCTGTCAAGCTTTAGAGCAACTGGCTTAGTGCCTAGTAACCTATTAGTAGTACTATTAAAGCTTAATGTTAAGGTTCGCACGCCAACGCCGCCTCTCTTAGGGGAGCCCTAATAGAACCCTAAGACACCTACCAACGCTAGTGAGATAGAGGCTCAATTAACGCTGCTTTGCAATTGTATTTAAAAGCACTAAGGATCGTCACTAACTCTAATGGTTAAGATTGTTGATCAGCTGCAGAGAGGCACGGCAATGCTGCTGCATGGGCAGACGTTATTGGCAGCCCAAGTGCTGCAGCTTGAAGCGTTAAATAAAGCAGCCTCTGAGCGCAAATCACAGAAAAGAAAGCGTATTCAGAAGGGCAGAGATCTGTTAAAGGAAGAGGCAGAGGACTTAATAGCCTAACGCGACGTTAAGGCGCAGGTTGAAGGGGAGAGTTGTGAGGGTAGAGTTTAAACAGGTGCAGGCAAGAGGGGTAAAGGGCACTGTAGGCGCTGTAGAGAGACTGGGCACAATTTGCGCACGTGTAAGAAAGACATAGTAGACGTTAGTGATTAATATTATCTACTATAGATTGCACTGCTGCGTTGTGGTGTTAAGCAATTGCAGATAGTAGGCCTAATAGCTTGTTAGGGTGTCCGACTCGCTTAGCTGTCCGACTCGCTATACACTCACGTTAATTTGCAAGAGAAGTTGAAGTTTGGTGTGGTCTTGGCAACAAGGTTGTCTAATATTAGAATCAGCTAAGCGTTAAGCTGAGCTTAAAACAGTGTAGCTTGCTTGGTTGTTGCCTATGTGTTTTCAAGACTAGGCTGGCGGATGGGTATGCCCTAAAGTCCTGTTTGGGTACCCCCCCAGCTTAGCTAATACTTGACCAATTTAGGCAAATAAGGGCTCGTTTTAAAGAAAATTACATGTAGTCTATTTATCCTATATAGCTTTTTCTTTTAGCTCTTATATTACAGCTGCTAAATCTAAAAGACAGTAAAGAAAGGGGGGGGGGGGGTGCTAGGCTGGCGGAATGGGTATACTCCAACGTCCTTCGTGGGTACCCCCCAAAACTTTGTCAATAATACATGGATTCTAGCGAAATAGGGCTTAAAAGAAAGAGAAAAACTACCTCTACATTTCTGTAGTAGAGTGTTTTGTTATAACTATTAAACTGCACAAGCTAGAGGCTAGAAAAGGTTAAAAAAGGGGGGGTACCTAGCAAGCATACCTATTAATAGGTATACTTTGCTAGGTAGTGTTAATAACTCAGCTAATACTAGGCGGAATGAGCTAATTCTTTTTTTATTAGAAGGCGCAATACTAGGCGCTTCTATTGAATAATAGATTATGTAAGCGTATCTCTGCTAGTTAAGAAGCTATAAGCCAAAACGTAAAAAAGCATACCCTACCCATCCGCCAGCCTAGGGGGTGCCTAGCGAGCATACCTATCCTAGGTAGGCTTTTGCTAGGTAGACTCAATAACTCAGTTAATAGTTGGCCAAATTAGGTAATTATTTTTTTGATAGAAAGCGCAATATTAGGCGCATCTATTGAAATGTACATTATATAAGCGTATTTCTAATAGTTAAGGAGCTAGAAGCAAAAAAAAAGCCTACCCTACCCATCCGCCAGCCTAATCAAGACCCTTAATAGCAAGCAGGAAGTTCTGCTGTGCTCAAGGAGATGTGACATTAGGCAGATAGACTGCCTTGCACACCCTCACAGTATGCGGCCACTCCTTAAGCTAGCTGTCAATGTTGTTTCTTAGTCAACTCTGTAGTTGTTAATACTTGACTATTAGCCGAATCTCCCTCTTAGCTGTTAATAGGCAGAGATGCTTCTTTAGCCTCTTCAAGCAAGCGTACGCAGTATTGTTGCTCTAAGTTAGGTGTATATAGCAGCAGCTAATTGTTTAGCTAATCTCCTAGCTGAAGTTGTTTAACGTTTTCCTCTTAATCGTTTATCTAGCTGGTGCTTAATTGTAGTTCCTCTCTGCCTGCTGATATTGCTAGAACTCCTTAGTTATTATGCCCTTAAGCACAACTCTAGTGTTGTCTTCTATCTCCTTATAGGACTGTTCTGGCTTAACCGCTGCTGGCTCCTTAAGCTTCTTAGGGGCTGCCTTATTAAGGTCTGGGTTAACTATAGACTACAGGTGATGTCAGTCCACACTATCCTTTTGTTGGAAGATCTGTTCCCCCTAGTCTACAGGTTTCTTAAGTATAACTATTGTCCTTGTAAATAGTCTATCTAGCTTAGCAGTAGCTATCCTAAATTAGGCTCTTTTAACTCTTAGATGTTGACTCTTGTATAGGACAGTATGCTCAAGGCTCTTAGAAAAGTAAGGTAGCAGGACAGAGAAGTAGCTCTGTTAACAGCAGTCAATAGCTCGTCAGCATGCAGTAGCAAATACAGCGTGTATAGTTGACAGCCAGGCTTATAACTGTGGCTACGTGAGCAGTGTCGGTCAGAGACTGTGATCAACAAGTGTATTGCTATCTGTTGTCGTGTTGTGATGTTCTGTTACAAAAACTCTCAGCTCTGGGGTAAGCGCACTTGCCCACCGGGCAGTACCTGCTACAATAGGATAATATGTGATCTAAGCCACGTGGTTACATTACGCAACTTGATGTAACCACAACCAGAGGGATCCAGCACTTGTAGACGGCCATCGATAGAATGCCTTCATACCTACAAGTTGCACTGGTAACAATCAGGTACATGTGAGCAACATTTATCTTGCACGGTGAGCTGCGTAGTTTACCGCTCGAATGAAATTCGATAAAAAAGTGTCCTGCTACGAATGATTCGAAGAGGGGACATGCACATCACGTACTGGAAGAATCTAGACGGGTAAGCAGATGTGCCGCGATCATGGCCTTTTTGCAGTTGCAATGAACAGGGACTTGTGTAGGGCTGCTTCACTTTCACACTGACAAGTGACTTTTTGATGGTGAAAAACGCAAGGTTCGAGTTGTAAAAGCTCCCTCTTGTATATACACGAGTACCCTTCCGCTGAAGCTTTATGCCAAAGACAGCCATGCCATGCCGTCTTCTTGGAATGCCGAAAGTGGCTTTTCATCGCCCATACCACCATATACAGCTGCGATCCATACACACCTGTGACCTGCCTGATGGACGCTCCTCTGCCCACACTTATGCACATACACCAGCGGGGATAACAGAGGGCTCGCCCACACAGGAGAACTTCGAGCCGCCCGTGACAGCCACAGAGTTCCAGGTCCACCCGGTGCAGGAGGCGCACTCGATGGCGACATTGGTGCCAGAGCTGGTCACGCCACCGGTGCCTGTGATGCCCGAAATTGTCAGGCCGGTGATGGGTACGCCGGAGCCGGGGCCGTGGGTCTTGGACAGGTCGCCGCCGTCGTAGTTCTGCTCGATCAGGATGCCGTGGCTGCATGAGTTAGCACGAGTTACAAAACGAGGATACAAGCAGAGGAGTAGATAGGGGGCATGACTTACCCAGTGATGCCTGAGAGCGTGATGCCGCTGTAGGTCACGGCGTCGATCTTGCCGGTGCCGTCGAAGAACGACTTGACGCGAATACCGTTCGCCGAGTTTGTGACCGAACTGCTCAGGAACTTGACATTGCTGACGGTGTTGCTGGCGGTGGTGCTTCCATGGCCCACGGAGCCAACGGACAGGCCGTGGCCGCCAGTGCACTTTCCGTTCTGGAATGTGATGCCCTGCATATGTCAGTAGCTGTAGTCTCACGAAGAAATATTGACTTACCGTTCCGGAGTTGATCGCCACGCAGTCGTCCTGGTTGTGCACAACCGCGCCATCGATGACAATGTTGCTGCTCGCGCCGATGTCGAAACCGTCCGTGTTGTGGGCCATCTTGTTGCTGGCCAGGCCATCACTGGCCGAATTGTCGATGGTCATCTTGTTGATCTTGAGCCCGTCGCATCCGTTGATGCTGACGGCCTGGACGGGCGTATTGAGGAGTTTGAGGTTGTTGATGGCCGAGGTTCCAGTGAGACTGTGAGCGGCCAGGAACTTAGGCTTCGGGGTAGCGCCGTTGCTGCCCTGGCCGTCCCAGTACTGTGCACCCTGGCCATCGAGAACGGCGCCAGCTGCGCCGGTGACGACAATGTTCTTGCCGCCGATGTTGACAAGAGGACCAGCGAAGCCCTTCTGCACTAAGAAGGTTGAGGTGCCCTGGAAGTTGACAGCCGTATTGTCGGCCAACTTGGATAGATCAAGCGTCTTGCCAGCAGGGACCGTGACGGCGTTGAAAGTGACGGACGAACACGTTGGCAAGGCGGCAGCCACCTTAGTGACGTCGACGGTGCCAGTGAAGGAGCAGGCGCTGGCACGCTTGGCAATCACAGTGTCGGAGAGAGATGCTTCCGCAGCAGGTGCCGCGTTGGCAGTGGCCACGAGGACTGAAAGAAGGAGGCTGAGGTTCTGGGAAACCATCGTGAAGTAAGTTGGGATATTTTTGGGTTGGTTGTCGTTGAGTTGGTTATTGATGGGTTGGTTGTTGTTGGATTGAAACGGGTTTGACTTGAGAAAAGAGTGGTTGAAGATACTGTGTTTGTTATTTGATGGTTGGATGGTCGATATAATTATTTTCGACGGGCTTCTCATGGTCCTTACATCGCTTCTGTACGCAGCAGAGACATACTCGGCCGATGAATGACCGTCTTCTCAGTGTCGCCCCTTACTGCTACGGATCGTGGGCATAGAAGCAATACGAAGTAATGCCGGTGATAGAGTGAATCTCTTTTCAGGGCGTGCTAGTAAGAAGCCATGTCAAGGCAGAAGTCGACTAACTACAGGGCATTGGACTTGGGTCTACGCTCGTCGGCTCGCCAATCTTCCTCTTGTAGTGCGTGAACTATCTCTATGCGTACTACCAGCCTGGCAGCTGTCAAAGTATCCATGAGAGTCAGATAGCAGACAGAGACTCGGCATGAACTCGCTTAGAGCACTTCCTTAGCTGCTGGGTCACAATGAAGCAAACCTCGCCATTCGCTCCAGACCATCATGACGTGAGCCTTTGTTCGTCGACTACTGTCTTACAACTGCCAACTGATGCACTTGCCGTGCGCCCCATGTTGGAGATGCGCCGAATCAGCTCACCATAGTCAGTAAAGAACGAGCTCGGTGGCATTGGGGAAGTTCAAGCTGGAACTTCGTCTGGTCATGAGACGATTCCTCAGACATGGTAGCAGCGGTACTCCACATTCTGCAGATCCGCGGTCCTGGGCATAGTGCAATCGAACCCAGTGCACTCCCGAGCTGCAGGGGTCCAATTGGAGGAAAATTCACACACTGAAGCGTCACTGGTCGGACAGGTAACCGATAAATTCGTACCAGACACGGCATGCGCGGGACGAGACAGGTGTCAAGCTCACCAAGCTCACAAGACCATGCAGACAGAGGGCGCCGTTTCAATCGCTTCGCCATGTCGGCTGCTCATCCTGGCGCGTCGTTTCCGGACATTTTTTTTCGCACCGGTGGGCTCTGCTCCCAGTCATTGCACCAATCAGAGGCGTGGCACGTGGAACATAGCGCTCCTGAGCCATGAGATGCCCGTCAGAGGAGCACGAGAGACTCTCCAATTGGTCGCGAGCGTGAGAGCAGAAGCAACCAAGGCGAGGGACAATGGCTGCGGAACACATGGAGCAAAACCACCACCTATGCTGAGCCAGCCTCACCACCAGTCGTAGCGTGGCAGGAGCAATTTAGGAGCGTTTCAAATGCTGTTGTTTCGAGAAGCACGGTCGGCGCATTCCCCAGTTTCGTGATGTCGTGCGCTTGGCGCGAACACGATCTGCAGCCCTACGGGTTCGCAGCACAGGGCGCCCCAAAGTGCCGGCATGAGTGAGGCATCCCTGGCACGGCATCCTGCTTGCGCATTCGCAAAAGGACTGGTCTGGACCGGCCGGCCGGCCGTTTGGGGGCCACACTCGAGTCACATGGGCGTCGGTGCGATTAAGGAACCGCCGCTTACCCCAGACGTTGATGTCGGGAACTGCGGATCCTGCTGCCTGGTTCCAGGGCAGCGAGAATGGGGACTTGGGTCGGCCATGTCTTGCAGACGGCGAGCTGCATGGTCGATGTTGCGGCGCGATGTGGGGGAGATTTGTTTTCACCATGCACATTCAGGACTATCCGATCGCGTGGTTACGCCACAACAATAAGCAACGTCGGAGGTGCATCTAACACTGCCAGGAGTTGATTAGATGACATGGACAGAGGTGCGTTAAATGACAAGAGCCGAATTTGCCGTATTTCACGCAACGAGCCGGCCTAGTGTCGGGTATATACACGCCCGCTATAACAAAAACAGAGCTGGGGCAGCCGAGAGTAGTACGTCCTCCCTACAGGTACTGGAATGCCAGTGCACATGACCATGGCTTGTGATCCGGACATAGTCGCTGCCAAGGATGCTTTTCTGGAGAGTTGGACTTGGCTTGTGCACGGCGTACCTGTAGATCCTTTTAGCTATCCCCAGCAGAGCCAAGGAGGCCCAAGAGTAAAGTAGGGGAGAGAGAATAGTGTACTGGATATGCAGTATGCAGTATGCAGTAGTTATGCAGTATCTACTATCTCAATGTATCCTGTGTCAAACAGCAAGGGTGGGTGTCTGGTCGATGCCTGTCCCGGATAGACCACATTCACAAGTCCTCCCAATCACCCACACCAGCGCCGCGCCGCACCGTCACATACACCGAGCCAGGTAGTCACTACCCCTCACACGTTGGGAAGCATCGTATACAGGACTTGCCCAACGGAAGCACCGGAACACGCAGCAGCCAAAGACGCCGCACGTGCGTCTGCTGCGGCCAAGTCTGTGTATCGATCACGAGGGACACGCCAGTTCTGTTCAAGTAGAGGTGGTATGGTGTGTGGGATCTAGTCGCAGCGATACGCTTCATGCCCAACGAGCAGCGACGCATCCTACTCGTCGTCGGCCCAGCTGGCGCCCTTCTGCATGGGCTCCAGGCCGAACGACTCAGCCGTCTTGACGGCAGGACGCACAGGCGCGTCGTCAGTCTCGGCCTTGGGCTGTGGCTCGAGTTCGTTTCTGAGTGCGGGCTCGCTCTTGCGCATGTCTTCGTTCTTGGCGTTGTTCCTGGTGTCGTCCTTGGCGTCGCTCTTACTCTCGCCCCTGTCCTTGACGGAAAAGCCTTTGATGGAAAAGTCTTTGATGTTCGGTGCGTCGGCGTTTGCGGGGACTGTCTTTGGGGCTGCGGGGAGGGAGGGGAAGTCGGTGGATGTGGGCGGGCGCTGCGACGTTTGCTTGCCGCCGCGGGCTTCCCCTCTGGAGTCGCGGGCATCGCCTCTCGCTCCCCGGCCGCCGCTGCGTCCGCCGCGCCCTCTGCCGCGGCCGCGGTGCGCACCCGCGTCGCCGGTTTCGTCGAACAGCTCTCGCCCCTCTTCCGGTGCTGCCCGTGCTGTGCCGCGCCGCCGCTCCTCGCCGGTGCCGTCAAAGCCGTCCTCCTTGTCGAGGTCCCACTCGCGGCCGCCCTGGGCCTTCAGTTTCCGCTGGCGGTTCTTCTCGCGCTCGCCCATCATCTGCTGGCGGTCCTTGCGCTCGGCCTTTTGCTTCTCGGCGACGGCCTTCTTGCGCACGACCTCCTGCTGCTTGAGCACGTGCTCGCGGGCCTCGGCGGCGGCGGCGTCTGCCTCGGCGCGGGCGTGGGCGCTGGCCAGGGCCTCGTTCTTGCTGCGCATCGACGCGAGCTTGGCGCTGAGCTCGGCTTCGGTGAGGCGCGTGCGCTTGCTCCCGCCCGTCAGCGTGCGGTCGCCGCGCACCGAGGCCGCCGTGGGCGCTGCGGGGCCGGTGGGTGCGTCGGCAGGCGGCGCGTCGGCGGCGGGCGCGTCGGCTTCTGCGCCTGTGCTGGCGGGCTCAGGGGCCGAGTGGGCCGAGTGGGCCGAGTGGGCCGAGATCGCGGCTGGGCTTTCTTGCGCGGCGGCGGCGGCCTCCTCGAGCCGGATGTCGCCTACGGGGCCGCCGCGACCGCGCCCTCCTTTGCCGCGACCGCGCCCCTCGCCGCGTCCTCTGCCGCGGCCTCGTCCCCCGCGGTCGGCATTCCGTGGCTCTCGCGGCGCCTTGGGGGCGACGTGTGCTTGCGGCGCGGCTGGCGGTGCGGGCTGCTCTGGCGCCGGGACGAAGACGGGCGCCCGCGCGGCGAGGGTGCTGCTCGGCTCGACGACGGGCTGCGAGATGGGCGTGATGTCATCGTCGAAGAACAGATCGTCGGTGCCCGCTGTCTGCGCGAAAGAACCTAGCGAAGCGTCATTGTAGGCGCCGTAGGCTGCGTCGACCGCGGGAGCCGCTGCTGGTTGCTGCGCCGGCGCAGGCTTCGATTCCGTGGTTGCAGCCTGTGGCGCTTCGTCGCCAGTCTGGGGCGCCCACTTGGACTTGAGCATGCTGTAGAGGGAGGACAACTGTGCTATAAATAAATTCGGCAACGCATGCAAATCTGCGCAGTGGCAGCCAACAATTGCTCTCTGGAGTGCTTTGTGTGTGCCTAGACGTGCCAGCACTGCATCATCTATCAACAGCCTACCAGCCGCACATTGGTCCGCACCCAGGGCGGTGAAGGCAGCTCCCCGCTGTGGATCGGATTCGCGAATTCCCCACCGACGAGAACATCCAGCGCAGATATCATCTACAACGGATTTTTGAGGTCTAGATGCGGCATGTGCTACGAGGGCTGCATTGAACAGCAAAGGCAAAATGATAATGTGTGCATTCTGAGCCAATACCGGTAGGGGTCTCTAAACCGGGCAGCCTAGTAGATCGAGTCCACCGGCAGACCCTTGCCAACACGACCCATCAAGGGGATTCTTAATCGTCGCTATCATACTCCTCGTCGTCATCCCCAAGGAGCGCGGGATATTGCCTCCGCCTCAGATCCTGCTCCAGCCCGCCCTCGCTCTCCGGATCCACATACCCCTTCCCTCCAACCAGACTGAGCAGCACGGGCAACAGGATGAGAGCGTGCGTCGACGCCCACAGCACGAGCGCGACCCAGACACGGAAGTAGTAGATTTCGAAGATCTGCGTTAGTTAGATGATGAACACACAGGATTGGCGAGCAAGGGATCAACATACCTTGCTACGCGTAAACGCCAACACGCCCACGCCCAGAATCTTCGTGATCGTGATCCCGCTAATCACACTGCTAGCCACGTTCACCATGGCCGTCCACGCCCGCGCATCTCGCCCACGGAACCGATGTCGTGGCGCACGTTCCATGGTTGCGCGACTCGGAAACGTGAAAGCGCGCGCAATGTGCGCCGTAAACTCGACACTGATACCGACGCATATAATCAGATTGACAAGCGAGACGGCGTTCAAGCTGACCCCCATAACCGCCATGGAGCCGATGATGGCCGACACGATCATGGCGACGACGAGCGTGACGACGAGCGCCGTGGCGAGCGAGCCGAGGAGGATTGTCGTGATGATGAGCACGGCAGCGAGCGCGGAGCCGATCAGGGCGCCGGCGAGCCGCACGATGGTCGTGTACTGGTCGAAGAAGATGTAGAACTTGGAGTATGGAAACACTTCGGCGTCGACGTCTTTGGAGATTTCTTTGGCGATGCGACGCGCTGCTTTGTACGCCGCTATAAAATCGCTCTGGGAGTGGACGGGTGTGTGCGCAGTGCGGAAGTGCGACGCAGAGATGGTCGTGTGCTTTGAGTCGATGACAAGAGCGTCAGAGTACGCAGCCTTGCCACCAAGAGGGCATTCTTCTGTCGTCGGCGCATCAACCCACCGTTCGAGGTAGTGAATGAACTCCTCGCCCTCGGGCATACCGTGGAGCGTCATGTTCCACGCTGGCGTGCGGTTGTCGAAACAAGGCTTGCCCTTATCGACACAGCACTTCTCATTCTCGGGGTTCAGCCACAGGAAGAAGTCATCCAGCCAGCTGGCCGCGGGTGCAGCCAAGTAGGATACCTCGGGACGTTTACGCTCAGCCTCGATGATGTTTGCGAGACTGCCTTGGTCGCAGGTAGAGAAACGACCGCAAAGCTCCTTCTGTGGCCTCCTCTCTGTGACGTTGAAGTTCTTGTGAATGAAGTAGACCGGCGGGCCGACGTCCAGATACTCGTACACATCAGTGAAATACGGGATGAGGTAAGAATCACTTGGCATGGCAATACGCTGATCGAGACCAAGTTCAACGGCGGGAAAGAGGGCGACGCCCGCAGTGAAGATGCCAAAGAAGATGGCAAGGATGACCACCTTGGCCTTTTTCCCTAGAATGGCTGGTGCGTATGTCTTGCGGATGAATCGCTGTAGAGCGCCTTCTTCGCCAGCGCCAGCTCCGTAAACCGGGTCCGCCTTTGATATCCGGAGAAAGGGGAAGCAGTCGGCACGATTGGTCTCGACACGTTGCTGGTTCAGCGAGAGTACAGCGATGAACATGGTGACTTGCAAGATGGCGTTGATGAAGACTGCACCTGCGGCGTATGCGGCGAAGTTACGGACAGCAGGCATGCCCACCGCACAACCAAGGGCAAATGCCGTGGTCTCGGTCAGGGCCGAAAGCAAGATGGAAGGTCCCATGCGACCGAGAGCGCGCGAAACGCGTTCTGGAATCGTACCTTCGGGATGGCTAATGTTGATGCGCTCAAACTCGTGGACGATCAGGAAGATATTGTCAACACCGACAGCCAGTACTAAGAAGGGGATGACCTCGGCAATGATCAGGGTGACCTTGATACCAGCGGCAGAAAATAGACCAACCGAAGCCGCAACGGACATGAGCACGATGAGGATGCCCACGGTTCCCAGCATAAACTTAGATTGCACGAGTGCATTTGCTGGGTTCTGAAGTACAGAGCGTACTGTGAGGGTGGTCGATCCCAGCGCGAGTGAGGCGTACAGGAACATGATGATGTAGCTCACCACCACGATCTTGGCATCGGTGTTGGTACTCTTGTTGAGTTCTTGCTCGAGACTGACTTCGGTGCTAAAGCTCAGACGAAGACCTCGATCCTTCGCATCATCTTGAACAAGCTTGAGGTAGTTTTTCATTTCGTCCTCGAAGTCCATTGCGCGCTGCAGCTCCGGTGTACCCTCGGCGTGGTTCTTGACAACCCAAGTGACAACGAGCGCTTGAGCGTCAAGGACACTTCTGTTAACACCACCAAAAAGGATGTGAGGGTCCAGAGGCTGCTGGAACTCAGGCAAGCACTGGGTAGGGTTATCAACGCAATCCATGAGATCGTCCTGCCAACTACTAGGCGAGAGGTTCTGGAAGTCGCCTTGAAAGTAGCCAGTGACTGACTGTACCACACAGGCATTCTCAATTGGCTTGAAGCAGACCTGATCGAGTGTAACGCCGCTCTGAGACGACTTCAAACGGCGAATCTGGTCCTCGACGCCAAACCACCAGTCGAGGGTCTCGTAGCTCAGCACTGGCGCGCCGTGGTGAGTGTCATTGACCAGGAAAGCTTGCTCCGCTCGGAAGAAAGGACCAAACTTCTCATCGAAGAAGGCTTTTTCCTGGGCAGCTGCCGAGTCGGGTGCAACCCACAGGCGAACAGGATCGGTCTCGATAGTGAACCTGAGCCAACCCAAGCTCATCAACCCAACAACTAAAATGCTGATGACGATGGTGATGACGGGAAACCTCGCACAGACGTAGCCAAGGCGGCTGAAGAGACGATCACACCAGGTATTAACAAAATAGTGCTTGGTGGGGCGATCGAGCATGCCAACGTTGTGAACAATGTCGCCCTCGTCTTCATCATCGCTGGGTTCAAGGTCCTGCAGTAAGCGCAGGCGTTCGTTTTTCTGTTGTGAGTGCTTCTTGTATGCGACGTGTCCTGCGACAGCGGTGCAAAGGAGAGCCAAGAAGACGGAGTAAACAATGACGACGGCGAACGAGAGACAAGGAAGCAAGCCCACGTAGCACTGCTTGGCTTCAGTGACTTCAGGCAGCTCCGTGCATGAGGCGCCGCAGTCGAGGCAAGCGCAACGGTACAGTTCATCGTCGGTGTCGCAGGGGTACGCGTGCTTGTTCATGGCCTGCATGTCAGGGAACTCGGCGTCGTCTGGGCGCGGGAAGTCCATCTGGAAGGGGGAGCCAAGGAACTTCTTGTCGCCCAGGAACTTCAAGAATTGAGTATAGTTCTTGGCACCACCGCCGATGAAGTCCATTGCCTTGCCATTTGTAGCGCCGAACTTGACATCCTTGCAGCTATCGTAGAAGGTGCCTGCGTACTCGTCGGCGACCAGGTGGGTCAGCTGGGTAACGAGGAACTTGTCGCCCTTGGGGACGGTAGCGGTGACGTTAATGAAGAGTGACTGGTCAGGTGAGCAGGTGAAAGTGCAGAACATGTTGTAGAAGTTCTCCCTGCAGGCCGGGCAGGCGTTGATGATGGGCGTGGCGCGGTCGAGATTCGTCTTGAGGGCGTCCAGCTGCTCTGCCTCACAGCACACATCCGACCCCGCCCATTGTGCGCCGCAGATGTCGACCAGCTGCTTTCTGACGTCGTCTGTCGGTGCCTTGGCAAGGCCGTTGTCCGGGCAGGGCAGCTCAGAGCCAAAGAAGCTCTGCTTGCCACACTGCCCTCTTATCGCGCATCGCCCCTTCTCGTGCTTGATGGTCAGATCGGGCCCGGCCAGCGCTGAGCCGGCCAGTATAGCCAGCAACCCCACTGCCGCAGCTCGCCATCCTGCTGAGCACCGTGATGCCATTGGGTTGCGCGTCGTCGGGACCAGGGTTTGCTGACAGCGGTGCGCAGATATTCGTGGAGTACACGTGACGCTATGTTCCAGAGTCTATGAGGATGATGTCGCAGAGGCAGAAGTGCATGCGCCGCGTCGTCGAAGCCGAGGTGGCGCGGAGCTTAGAGCTCGAGTGGAGATAGCCAACGGCTGCGAAGAGCCAAAGTGGGGGCTGGCAATGACAGAAGACAGCTGTGCACAGCTATAGAACCGCAATCGACCAGTTGCACTGCAACTGCTGTTGGATAGTGGTACCGGTGGTAATAGTCGTGGAGGCGCGAAGCGTAAGGCAGCTGTTTGTCTCATGCACGCTCGAGAGACGTCAAGGCCGCTACCTAGCCGCCCAGGAACAGGCAAGATCGTCATCACGCGGAGAACGCCCTCGTTCCAGAACATAATCCCCAGCCACGCATTTCCAACGACCCCACATCACGACACCCGATCGAGGAGACTGTCAGATATGCATGCCGACAAGGCGTATTGTTCATTCAACATCCTATCTAGGTCGTAAATCCGCGGTCATTATCATCTACAAGTGTCTTGCGACGGGGTATTCATCCTTTTTGCTCCATGACATTCATCAAAACATCCTACTTGCGCAGGTACTGAACAAGCTCAGTAAGCTGCGCGCGTGTCTCGTCCTCCAGCTGGTCCTCTGAGCTCAATGCCTGCTCGAAGATGGGCATCAGGGTGGGGGTCAGCTGCTGAACAGTGGGCTCGTTCCTCTGGTACAGCTTGATGAACATGCCGAAGATGGGCTTGTTCTCTTCGTAGTCCTCGCGCAGAGGCAGGAGCTGGACGAGGCGAGGCAAGACCTCGGCAACCGGTAGCCTGTCAGTGTGCTTCGTGATGAAGCGGCTGACACAGCCCGCTGTGTTGTCCAGAAGGCGTGGCTGATCCTTGGCGTCAAGTAGAGGCTCGATCTTGGAGAAGATGGTGGGCAGGTTCTTGGCGATCTCGTCATCATTGGCAGTGCTCTCGGCCAAGAGACCCATACCGTAGACCGCGTTGGACTTGGTGTCGACGTCCTCGTCGGACAGACGGTGAAGCAACACCTTGAGCAGACTGCTCTGGTACTGGGTGCAGCCCTCGCCCATGTTACCGACGCACTCAGCAATGGTACCAACAGCGGCGCTGCGCTCGGTAGGCTCCTGACTGCTGGCGTACTTCATGATCGGCTTCTCGAACATTTTCCAGAGCTCGGTAAACTGGCTGCCGAGAGCGACAGCAAGGCAGGTGACGACCTCCATGGCGGTCTCAATGACTAACCAATCGTACTCGGAGGACTCATCGAGGTCAATCTCCTCACCCTCATCACCAAGATCCTGCTGGCAAGGGTGACGCTTGGTGATGACAGCAAGCAGCTGCTGGCAAATGTCAGGAACAGCAGTGCCGGACTCCATCATCAAGACGGCAGGACCGCAGAGTTTAAGAGTGGCAGCGACATCGCGGTTGATATCAGTGACAGTGCCCCTGTTCATTGTCAGTCATGATCACCAAAGTGTATTAAACAGATCGACAATGTGGGAGGAGCTCAGACGTGATTTCGCTTTCACCTCAAGTGCACTTTGTGCATCGGAGTGAGCTGGGATTAACGAAGATTGTGTCATCTTTGCGGGGATCGAATGAAAAACGAAAGGGCGTGGTACTTACCGGTCCATCTCGTCCTGCCAACAGGCCATGGTGGCAGTCATGACAAGGTTACCAAGCTTCTTCAGCTCCGCAGGAGGCTCGACCTTGAGAGGAAGGCCAGGAGTCCACTTAGCCATGCCATCGCCCTCCGCCATGCCAAAGAGGCAAGCGAAGGTGCGCCAGAGTGTGCCAAGAGCAGCCTTGCGGATCCCCTCGTAGGAGTGGTCGACAAGCTCAAGGAGCTTAGTGACGGTCTCCTCGAGGTAGGGGAGGTACTGACGGCGTGTGTGGGTGATAATGTCGCCGAAGACCTCAGCAGCAATCTCCTTTTCCATGGCGACAGCGGTGACACCCTCCAGGTCATCCCAGTCATCGTCATCAACCATGGCGTCATTCAGGTCCTCAAAGTCATCGTCGTCATCGTCGCCGGCGGACATGACCTTGACCTTCTGACCCTCGATAATGACCTCCTGACCAACAAGCTCGCTGGCGTGCTCACCAAGCTCGACGTCAGTGCCCGTCTCGTCCTGAGCAAGACACTCGTTGAGGCCCTTGACGGCACCAGGAAGGTACTTGGCAAAGCCCTCCTCGTAGACCTTAGCCATCGTGCTCCAAAGAATGTAGCTGGTCTCCCGGAGGCGAGGATGATCGAGGTGGAGAGCCTCTTCCGACGCCTCCATCAAGGGCAGAACGTAAGGCTCAAAGGGCTCAGGGCCAACGGCAGATGCCATCTTGCCCATGGAATCGCATGTGACGCCACGGAGGTCAAGCTCGTCCTGACTGTCCTTGATGCGGACGTAAGGAGACAGCTCATGCATAGTCTGCTGGAAGAAAGGCAGGAAGGCCTTCTCAGCGGCGGAAGCAATAGAGCCGACGGCACCGATAGCAGCGCTCTTGACCTTGAGGTCTTCGTGGTGGAAGAGCTTGCTGAAGCGGGGCACTAACTCCGGAACGTACCTGCCGGCATCCTCAGACTCGAGACCCTCGATGAGAGAGTCAATAGCGTGGCAGGTCCCACGGACGATCGACAGGGTACGCTCGTCGTCCGCACTGGGCGCATTCTGAACAGCGAGATCGAAGTTCTTGATCATGGCAGGAATGAGCTTAGCGTGCTCTTTGCCAACGTCCTCGGCCAAGTCATCAGCCAGGCGAGCGATACCGTTGAGAGCGGCAGCGCGGACCTTGAGCTCGGGGTCTTCGAGAAGGTGGTAGACCATTGGCAGGATCTCGTGGAGCTGAGTGGCGATGAAGTCGGGAGCGCCCTCAACGCACATACCCAGAGCAAGAATACCGGCCTGGCGGTAGTCGGGGTTTGGGGAGGAAAAGTAGTTGCCGAGGTTCTTGAGGAGAGGGATGACGACCTGACTGGGAGGAAGGCTGGAGGCAAGGATGTCGAGCAGTCCAAGGGCAGAGCGGGCGGGTGTGACATCTTCGTCCTCGCTGGAGAGATCACCAAGCTCAGTGACAATGTGCAGAGCCTTCAGAGTAAGCTCCTCACCGATCCTGAGAGCCTGGACCTTGAGCTTCCTGTAACGTACACACTGCATAAGGAAGGCAAGGGACTGGGAACGATAGTCCTCCTCAACATCGGTGGAAGCGGATAGCTCAAGCATGAACCTAACAAGATCTCCGAAGTGCTTCTGCAGGAGAGCAGACTCGCAGCCGAGAAGGGTTTGGAAGACTTCGAAGGCCTGCATGGCGTGCTCCTCATCGCCCTCGTCGACGGTCTGCTTCAGAACAGCGACCATCTGAGGAATGGCCTGCTGGAAAGCAGCCAAAGACTTGGCGTCCTCCTCAGGCTCAAGAAGCATGGCCATACGGCTGAGACCAATGAGGGTGTTAATCCTGACATCGGCACTCTCCGGGTCCTGGATCGTCTTGCTGAACAAGCTGTACAGATCGGCGGGCTTTCCGGGGAAGGAGTCGCCAGTCTGCTCGAGTGTTGTCCAGATGATGAATGTCCCGACCTCTCTGTGCTGTGCGGTGCCGCTGGTGGCGGCCTGGTGCAAGTGGCTGGGCAGGTCGGCCCATTGTCCGTCCTCGAAGTCTTGCGCAGCGATGGCAGCAACAACACGAGCAGCAGAGTGCCTTGTCAGTTTCTGCTCCTCGTTCAATGTAAACTGCAACAGCTGGTTGCGAAGAGAGACCTTCTGGTCCTCAGGCAGCGAAATCCAGTGCTTGATAACAAGCTTGCGGGCCTCGACGGCGGCGAGCTGCTTCAGACCCTTGTCGGGGTGCCCGCATAGAACCTGCAGCAGCGCATTGAGTGAGGCGGGCGAGTTGTAGTAGTTCTTGTTCAGACTGGCCGTGGCGTTCTTGACAACGTCGGTGTCAGCTGGGAGTTGTTAGTTGCAATGTCTCCAAGGAATGGAGCAGACTTCTTACGCTGCAGCAGGCTCTGAAGCAGCTGAACAAACTGTTGCTCGTCCATGGCGGTGATTCTACAGTGGTGAAATGTAGAAGCAGGCCTGGTAGAAGATCAGACGCTGAGCGGCGAAAGATCAGAAATTTTTGGCGGGCAAGGCGCTGTGTTGTCCTGCGTGGAGAAGATGCAAATAATTTTGAGAGAGGGGCACTAAGGGTCCAGCTAGCGCGCTTCAGGCTGCGTGGCGCCGTGGCTTGACTCGGCGGAGTCGCGTCTGATTGGTCCGCCCCAGTCGCGGGCGTGTTGAACTTGGTGACAGGCTGAAAATGTTGGCATCTGGTGAAGACCTCCACAAGGTCAAGTCGAGGTTGCTGGACATGAACGATATTCCCCATACTTCTCTTGCAAGGGACCTTGCAGATTCGAACCTGCAGCGTGGACTGCTCATCAGCCCCTGACCCAGCTGTTAAGTAGAACAACGGCGATATATGAGCGTGGCATTGCTTTGGTTTTACACTGGACTGCCGCAGATGGTAACTCGTAGGAGTCTCATCTCAGGAAGAATATCTCGAGCGGTCAAGGGGCCAGGTGCCACATAACCATGTGTGCTTCTTCGGTGGCAGTGTGGTGGAGGTAATTCAGACTGTCAATTCACTGTTGACGCGTCATCAAAGATTGATGAGGATGAACCCATCTTACTGGATGCCATGCTCGTTTCGTAGTCGATGTGGTGGCTTGGTGCCGCTGATTGTGCGTACAGCTGACGAGAGGAACCGGTTGTTTCGAGCTTGGAGACGGCGACAGAGTGGATGGTAGGGGTGTTTTGCTCAAGAAGTGAACATGGATGATTATGGTGGAGCTTCAGACGAATAGGCGCGGAATAATGGCATGATGCAAACAATAGGTGTTGAATGCCCTCGGACAAAGCAAGTCGAGAGCACAAGTCACTTTGTCGACGATGGCCAGACACGCTAGTTTCGGTTGGCCCAAGCGCCCCATGCCTTCTGTTTGCGCGAAACGACAGTAGAGCGCTCCTCACCGTCGCCATCACCACCTAATAATCGTAGAGGCACCATCATTCCTCTCCTTCACCGCACAGTTCAGGAGCTTCCCCCCTGCACATCCTACACATACTCCGCCGCCCCGTAACGTTCTACCTGGCCTCTTCGCTACTCCGCCGACTCCTCTATGGCTTCAGTACGTCCCCGGCCCACAACACTGCCCAGCCCTTCTCATCTGCATACTGACTGCCTCCAGCAAGCTCCCAACCAGCCGCGCCCCTACCCCGGCAACTACCTCCCCAATGGCGGCGCTGCTTCCGGCCCTGTGCCTGGCGCTGTCCCGCTTCTTCCCAACCAAGGCCGCGTGATCCAGCAGGGAAGCGTACGAGTGCTGTGCATTGCTGATGTACGAGGTAAGCATACAAGATTTGTGCTCGAGCAGAGGAGTTGAGACTGACATGTTGCAGGAAATCTGCAGTCGCTGAACCAACTTGCTGCAGACGCCCGCGCCAATTACATCATCCACACCGGTGACTTTGGTTTCTACGACGACCGCTCGCTCGACCGCATCGCCGACAAGTACGTCCAAGCACACGTGACCTGCTGTGAGTGAAGAGGAGGCTAACTGGCGCAGGACACTGAAGCACGTTGCGCAGTACTCGCCCCTCTTGACTGACGCCGTAAAGCGCTCGATCGCCCAGGCGCCGCCACAGCCCCCGATCAAGGAGCGTTTCCAACGGGAACACTTGCCCCTCTCTGAGCTGCCTCAGTTCCTGAATAAGACATACACACTGAATGTTCCCGTCTACACAGTATGGGGTGCTTGCGAAGACGTCCAGGTGTTGGAGAAGCTGCGATCCGGCGAGTACAAGATCGATAATCTGCACATCATCGATGAGGCTCACTCGCGGCTGCTGGACGTCGGCGGCGTGAAGCTCCGTCTGCTCGGTCTGGGTGGTGCCGTCGTCATGCACAAGCTGTTCGACAACGGCGAGGGCAGGACAACCATTGCTGGTGGCCAGGGTACCATGTGGACCACTCTTCTGCAGATGGGTGAGCTCGTCGACACCGCGAATCGCGTATACGATCCGACCGAGACCCGTATCTTCGTCACCCACGCCTCGCCTGCGCGTGAGGGCCTGCTAAACCAACTTTCGGTTACATTGAAAGCCGATTTCTCCGTGTCTGCTGGTCTCCATTTCCGCTACGGCAGCTCGTACAACGAGTTCAGCGTCAACCCTACTCTGGACCACTACCGCGGCAAGCTGGCTGCGTCCAAGGCCTCCTTCAACGATGTCTGGGACACAGTCAAGACTGAGGTCGAGCCTGCGATCGCTGACAGCGACTCGCAGCAGCGCCTGTTGAACCTTGCCCTCGAGATTGTCAACAAGATGCCCACTGTCGCGAATGGCGGCAACCCCTTCGGTGGCCCCACCCCTGGCCCTCAGAGCGGTGTCATCGACGAGAGCGCGTTCAAGAACATGTGGAACTTTAACCTCGCTGATGCAGCCTATGGCTGGCTTGTTCTTGACATCGACAACGGCAGGATTGGCACTGAGATGCGCGCTCAGGGTTTCAACTTCGCCCACCGTGGTGGCAAGGTTGGCCAGGCCGGGCAGCCCGCACCAGCTGCTGCCACGTCCGCTACTCCTGCTGCCCCCAGCCCTGCTCCGGGTCCCTCACCCGCACAGGGACGTCCTGCTAACGTGCCAGCAAACGCTCCTCAGCATCCTCGCCCCGCCGTCGCAACTCCTCCGGTCTCCCACCAAAACAAGGCTGCTCAGCCAGCACGCACAGGACCGTCTCCTGCACCTGGGGCGCCAAAGGAGGCGAAGGCTGCCACACCCCAGCCTACTGGACCCGCGAACACTGCCGCTGAGAAGGCTATCCCCAGCGAAGTCAAGTCGAACGGTACGACAGCGCCCGAGAAGGGTCCTGCGTCGCCCGCCCCTCGAGAGCCTGTAGAACGCAAGGAGAGCAAGGGACTTTTCATCACTGGTGTCAAGGACGAGGAAGAGGCCAAGGGTCTTCTCGCCGAGGAAGACAGATCTAAGATCGAGAAGCTTGAAAAGATCAAGCACTTCTTTGTCGCCCACTTCAACTCGCCCACAGAGATGCAGGCTGCCCTCGGCCGTGTCTCTGCCGATGTCAAGAACGCTAGGGGCGGACCCGACAAGCCCAGCATCAAAGTGTACAACGAGCGCGGCAATGCGCCCAGATACGGTGCCGGCAGCTGGCAAGCAAGCAGCCGTGGCGGACCCGCTGGTGCTGGCGGCTATAGGAGTGGCGGTGCTTCTGACAGCGAAGGCGGCCGTGGAGGACGTGGAGGCCGAGGAGGCCGCGGCGGTGCGTTCCGTGGCAGTGAGCGTGGTGACCGTGGAGGTGGTCGTGGCCGTGGAGGAAGGGGCGGATACCGAGGTGGAGCGACTGAGGGTGGTGCTGCCCCAGCAGCTACAGGAGGCGAGTCATAGACCCATGACAAGCTCCATCCCTCCCCATACCTCTGATACCCCTTCTCCGGATATGCTAACGCGTTGGACAGAGCGGGACTGGGCCCGCCGATCTGTCCTAACGTAGTAGCAACGTTTTGTTTCTGACGGCGAGTTCTTCACACCTCGCCTTAGCGGGCGCTAGGTGTGGTTTCTTCCTTCGTTTCTTTATGGTGTGTTCCGGTTGGTAGTGTTCATGGCGCTCTCTGATCGGCATTTCCCGCTGGAACGATAGATGGCCTACCCGTTGCTTAGGGCTTGGCCAACATGGATGAGAAAATGTCTTGTCAGAATATGTATGTAATCGTATGATACCGAAAAGCTATATTTGCTGCTTCTGCAGTCGCAACTGCCCTCTCTACCTGGCTGTCGGTATTACTGTGTTGCATGCGCTCCTGACACCGTAAACCCAGCCAAGGTTCTCGAATCGCCATGATTCAGTGTCGAAAGTAGCTCAGTCGGTTCCAACGCCCACTTTCGATATCGCAGGCTCATGGATGATGCCCTGCGACGGCTAAAATGTCACGTTTTTTTTCTCGGGCCTTTGCATCTTCTCACTGGTGTGACATCTGTTCCAACGCTCTTCACGTGGACATTTTCTTACGACTTTAGCCAACATAGCAATCACGCCAACAAATCACTAAGGGATCGATCACAAGGCCTTCAAAGCAACTCACATCAAACTGAAGCCGAACTATTGAAGTGTCCATCATAGTAGTAGTGTTAAGAATTGCCTCAGCTGAACGAAGCCCCATCGTCAAGTGTTCATCATGACTGCGCCACATTCTACGTCACCACGTCAGCTCCCACAGCCACATTTCAGTCCCAACGAAGCCAAGCTCGATCGCAGAGCTATCGGCCCTTCGACGATCTAGAGCTTGATCAGCGCAGGCTTGTGATCATACAAAGAGCCTGATCAACCCGTCCCTCGTCGCATCATCACCGCTCAACCCCACATCACCATAGCAGCTTCACCCAAGTTTCCCACACGACGCATCGATTTATCGAACGCCCAAGATGAACAACAACAACAATGCGCAAGGTGCCGGTCAGCAGGACTACCTCGACAAAGCCTTCGCCGCAGGTGCGAAGAAGTTTGGCGGCGCGCAGGGCCAGAAGATTGCCAATAACCGCGGCATGAGCGAGAAGATCGTAAGTTGTCCCTTTGCCAGTGTCCCGCGACTCTAATACACGATGCGCGACCTTGCTTCAGCAGAGTGCGAGCTTTCACACTCGTTTATTATCGCGGTTCGCCCACGACTAAGGCTAACAATTGCACAAACAGACCGATGGCATGCGCGGCGTCTACGAGAAGATCACTGGCAAGAAGGTTAACCCCAAATACTCGAACTGAGTGGTTCCTATCATACTGGCTCTGCACCAGTACGATTTACGATCGGCTTGGCTACTGTCGACCTACAGCTGCATGCAACAGGCTGAGCTTTCACTATTATGTGTGCTCGTCTATTAATGACGGCACGTTATTTGATACCCATACCAATGAAGCTACGGAAATTATCACAATCCGTCTTTTCCCAATTCCAATGTATCGAATGTGCTGTTTGCATCCATCCGCATAGGAGTAGCCTTTGAACTCTAGGCGTCGCTTGTGTGGAACCCATCTATCGCTGTTGCTCGTCTAAGTTTACGAACTTTGAATCAGACAGCGCTTGCCTTTGGGATACATGAGGAAGAAGATCACTTGCTCCATGTCAGCATCGCTGAACCCGTCGAGCGAGGAGACCTTTGCGTTGGGAAAAGTGCGGAAGAACTTAGCGGCTCCAAGACGGAGCTCCATTTTCGCCAGGTGAAGACCGATGCAAACTGAAACGAATTAGAAACGTAGCCAAACAATGTCTAAGACAACGTACCTCGAGCACCACCACCGAAAGGCATCCAAGCATCTTTCATGTCCTTTGTAGGGGCCTCCCATCGTTCCGGTTGGAATCTGTAAGCGATTTAGCTGAAATCCTTGTCCCACAACATGCGTAACAAACATACTCATACGGGTCTGGGAACGCGTCGGCATTTCTATGCATGCTGTAAGCCTGCGTCTGTACTTCTGTTCCCTCCGGCATCCGGTATCCATCGATCACGCATCCCCCAGACGGCACATCTCTCGGCAGCAGTGCTGGGGCAGCAGCGTAGCATCTCAGCGTCTCAACAATAACTTGGTCAAGATATGTGAGCTTGCGGAGATCTTCATCCACGAATTGTTCTGGAAGAGATTGGAGCTCCGCGACTAGCTTTGCCTTGATGGTCGGGTCTCGACAGACCGCCCAAGTGAGATATGTCAGACTGTGTGCCGTCGTGTCGCTTCCGGCTGTGATATATGCCTGCGCGTTCGCCACAATCTCGGCACGGGACATGGTTTCCTCGTTCGCATTGAAGAGTTTGTGAAACAGGCTGGGCTTCAATGTGTCTGGCTCAGCTGCCACAATCCTTTCATACCGGCTGATCGATGTCTCTGCGTATGCGCGCATCCGCTGAGACGCTTCGTATGCAGCAGAAAATTTCGGCAGAGGGATGTAAGATGCAATCTTGATCAGCGTCGGAAAGGCGACCCGGACACCAAGTTTGGAGGCAAGATCTTGCAGATCTTTCGTGTACGTGTTCATCTGCCGACGCATTTAGCAAGTCTGATGGATATGATTACCAGTCAGAGTCAACTCACCTTCCCTTGTTCCAGCATACGGAAACTCTCGCTGAACGTCAGCTCACCGATAACGTCAGTGGTATAGAAGAGCCACCACTTCAGCACATCTGTTCTACCAGTCATCTTTATCTCTTCCGCCATTCTCTCGATCGCCAAATCGACTCGGCCACGCACAATGTGCTCAACACTCCTCAGACCAGATTCTGAGATTGGTGCGGAAAGGAGTTTACGGTGTCGCGCATGGGCGACTGGATCTCGCGTGCTGAAGATGTTGATCGCACTAGTTTTGGTACGAAAGATATCGTACATCTTGGCTTTCAGGAATGGACGAGTGTAAGAGTGAATTTGCCTGGCGGCGGACACCGAGGAGAAGTCAACCGCGTGAGGATTGACACGAACAACGTGGCCTTCGTATAGTGAGCAAATGCTTCAGGAAACAAGGAGTCAGAGTGGGTGTTGCCATACCATATTGTTCATGAAGTTTTTGGATATACATGGGTAACTCGCCACGGAGCCAGTAATATGTTGATACTGCAGAGGTCCATCTCGAATACCAGGGACCAGGCACGGAAGAGAGAGGACTGCTTGCACGCTGTATCAAAGTCTGTGAAAGATCAGCGGACCGAGTGGTTGACAAAGGAAGACAGAGAGATCAAACTTACCACAACCAAATTCACCCCACCAGCCAAAATGACTACCAAAGCGGACAGCAAAAAGATATGCATGTTGTGTAGTTCGGACAAGCTGCGTTAAGAGTTTGCTTAGAACGCCAAGGAAAGCCACAACCTTAAGCTTCAACAGTTTGAATCACTCAGGTCAAGTAGTAGTCTGACGAAGCCTTTCGCCGGCGTCGCGGCACCTGAAATATATAGAAATGTGCGCTGTGGACGCTTGCCGCATAGACGCCTGCTACCACCCGCACTACGGTCGGAGATTGGTTACGATCATTGGCCATCGCATTCGACGGGTGCACTTTGTGTGGGGTACTCGATTTGAATGGCGACGAACAGTGCACCGGGGCGGTGTTCTCGGGATGCGTAAGCGCCGATGCCGACCGACCACTACATAACGTCATTCGAGTGTGAGCAACACTGCTGCTAATTTCCTGTTGTTGCTGAGTGACCGGATTCCAGCGAAAGCGATATTGTTCGTAATGCGGTGCTGTCCTGGCCGCTGTACGTGGCTTGAACCTATGCCCGCACATACATCCGTCGTCAAGGTGTCTTCACCTCGTGTGTACGCCGCCTATTTGTGCAATTGGCACTTTACTCGCACATATCCTGGATCCAGTCTGCCCTTTGTTGCGGCCCAGGGTTGCAGCACAGGCATCGGGAGAGTAAGACAGGGGAGGTGCTTCTCGCTCAGATCGTACGGGATGATTTGAATTACCCGCAGGTCTTTATGGAGCCGGTTTAGGATTGACTGTCAGCGCTCAGGTCGTTTGATCGTAAGGACAGGTCTGGCTGCACATACTATTGCGATGTCGAATCACGGCTCTGAGGTTACATCATTTGCTATCATTCAGCTTGAAGACAAGGTCGACCACGTGCTCGTTGACAAACGCGGGCACAAAGTCCGACACCATGTACCACTTCGGCTTTTGCATATCATCGTGAACAACTTTCCCTCCAATCGTGAGTTGTTCAAACATGACGCCCTCAACCCCTCTGCCCCGCTCGAATCCCAGAACCTGCGAGGGGTATACTAAGCTGGACCTGTTCGTGTGCAACTCGACGTTCCGGAACGTCACGTTCTTGACCCCACGACCAGGTGCTGTCGTCCACATGGCATTCTTCATAGTTCGGATGTTGAACAGCTGACCCTTTGTGATTTTCTCGACTTGTACATTCTCAACCAAGACGTCGTGTATCAGGTTCTCGTCTCCAGCGTTGATGGAAATACAACCCTGGTACCACATTTGGTGCTCGCAATGGTCGAGGATGTCAATGTTGCTGATGTAGATATCGCTGAGAGTTTCAGGCACTTGTGGGTTGCCATGTGTACCAATATGGATCGGATGCGCAATGTCGGGCAAGAGTGTGCAGTTGTTGATCCGGATGTTTTGCGTGTCGCCGTAATAATTCCAGCGGTGCCCGTATATGGCGATTGTGTCGTCGGAGTTGCGCAGGAAACAGTTCTCGACGAGGACATCCTTGCAGCAGAATAAGTCAATACCGTCTCCGTTACCATAGCCGGAGAGTGAACGGTATCGATCGATGTGGATGTCCTGCCCTTCCCCAACGCATAGGCTGAAACCAAAGGAGCGAAGAGACGTCACACTTTGCACCGTGATATTCTTCGAGCGCTCGATGAGTATTGCTCCGCCAGCGAGTTCGCGCGGTCTCGATGACGATTCTGCTTCGTACGCGGGGCGAAAGATGATACCTGGGCCTTTGACTGCCGAATTCTTGACGTCAACAAACTGCACTTGGGCTGTGAGAATCGCTCCGTGGGCGAGATACACAGTTGTTTCTGAAGGAATGATAAGTGCACCATCAATGATCTTGCTGCTCGCAGCTCCGTTGTTCACGCCGGTCCCAAAGTACCAAATGCCGTTGCCGTCGCTACTGGGTGCTTGTGCATCGACGTAGGTCACAAGCAGATGCAGCGCTTGCCATTTGTCTCCATTAATCTCAACCATGAAATCGATAGCCCGCTCAAGAGTGAATGTGACACGACCGCTGTCGATTTTGGTGGGAATATGGAGCGAAGATGGACGGATGGCTGCTGTATAAACCTTCAACGTGTTGCAGCAAATTTGGAACTCCAGAGATTTGCCAGGCACTATTTGTAATGACGCAACGGCAACTTCGTGTATATGCAAGTCATTTCGGTCTGTATTGGCTTCTGCGACCCGTGCGATGTATGCTTGAAGCGACGTCCATGATTCAGGGATCTCGCTGTCGAGATCGACAGATCGGAAGAGAACGTCGAAGCTGGTGTCGAATGCAAGTCCATCCGGAAGTGATTTTGTCGCGCTGACAGTAGTATTAGCCATGTTAATGTCCACTGTGTTCCGGCTTTCGAGTTACAACATGTTGTTGATGGGGTAGTATCAGAGCCTATCAATTGCGCGAGCGTCGGAGCGCGGGCCGGGAGCTGTCCCGGACAGACAGGAGTTGCGCTTAGGATCAACTTCATGTCCGTAGCACAGGAAGCCGCTGCCCGTCCTGTTGATCTACTTGGAGGCCAAGGATGGCCGGAGTCTAATCTGATTGCGCAGAGCGGAACAGCCACGCCGAGGACTGCGCGCATGGCAACTACCTTTATCCCTCTTTGCATGAGTTCGTGGAAGCCCTGCCTGTGAAAGAATTTGCCACCGTCCGTATTGAACATCTCATGTAGAGATAACGGCGGCGGTGGCACTGCAGCGAAAGTCGGTAGGGAATGCGGGGTCGGAGAAGCTAGCGGAGTTCGGCCGGCATACCGGTAGAGCGCAACTACGACGTACACAGAGACCGACACAAAATTGCGTAGTGGGCTTGCCGGTATTCTGATTCGGAATAACCCAATGTCATAGTATTAACTAGACTCAATATTTACATGGCAAACAGAGAAATGATTAAGGTATGATCATGTAATTTAAGAATAAAAGTAAGACCTTAGGGTCTCTAGTTGGGGTATGGTAATAACACATGAGAAAAAGTCATGTACAAGTATACAAAGCAAAATCAGGCTCGGCATCTACTCATCGCAACTCTGTCTAGAAAGATAATTCGGCAAGCAAAGTGCAAGCTATTTATCTGACCCAATATCTCCAAAAGGCGTGGATGTAAAATTACACCTCTCTGACTTCGTGACCAATGCCTTCAAACCAGCGTTCTACCTCATTGGCTGACAGAGTTTTACCGGCCTAGACGCGTCGAAGCCACTCTTGCTCTTTGTTTCATAAGCCGTTAGGATCGGAATGCTGACGCTCGGCTTCAAGCCAAACTTGTGCTAGATGTGGACGTGGTGGTGTAGGTAACGCCCCGGGAGCCCTGCGGCGAGAGGGATGTGTCGATGGGCGAAGAGGTGGGTGTCAATGGCGAGGATAAGGATGCCGATGTGTGCTCGGAAGCAGGAGCGGAAAGGCGAGGGCGCTTAGCTGAAGTCGTGTCCAAGGGAGTGTTGGCCACTTCTGCAGTGCACCTGCGCTTTCGGTTGGTCCCAGAGCGGAACTCTGCAGTTTCTTCAGCCTCAGGTACAGGGCCGCGTTCTGGTTTCCGCTTCTTCGGACTTTGCGACCGCCTCCAGTTCGCAGCAGTCGAGAAACGCTCGCAATCAGCGGCAGCGACGAAACCTCGGGCGTCGGCCAGATGCGCGCCAGAAGCACGCAAGGTCAGACGGCGGTCGGTGTCGCTCTCCAGGAAGGCACGAAGCAGGGGGAAGATGGACCATGCGAAGCGCGCGTACAATATGTCTGCGCCGACTGCAGTAGGGTGCAGCTCGCGGTTGTGGTAGAGAAGCTCGAGCTCGGGCGAGGATCCAAGCACGTGTGCGACGAGGCGCATGCTGCCATTGGTGGCGGGCTTGGGCACAAATGCAAGACGGGGCGCGTCGAAGGCAATGTGCAGGTCAGCGCAAAGGAGGAAGGCGTTGGCCATGTCGTCGAGCGTGGCAGTCACGCCTGTGTTGTAGCGCGACATGCCTTTCGCTCGCCACCAGCCGAGCTCGGACTGGGGCACGACGTGCGCGACCTGCTGCTGTTCGCAGCAGCCGCTGAGATGACACCAGCTTTCGCGCATGAGCAGGGCGGTGGTCAGGTTCGAGGGCGCGAGGGCGATGGTCGCCGGTGCAGCGTTGGCGTCACTTGCGAATTGTTGCCAGTGCAGGGGAAGGCGGGACACCTGAGCGGCCCACTGCCCTCTCTTTCTTTCTCTCCTACTGCGCTGAGCTTCTTTCTCTACCGCTGTTAACATCCTAGATGAATGAGTTAAGAGCTACCCTCTATGCTTTATTGATTTAAAGAGAGTGCAGAAACCTGTACAGAAGAGGTAAAAATCTCGCAACTCTGCGTTCTGCTCCCTTGCAATTTGCTGAGCTACCTTCTTCAACCATCCTGCCGCTTTTAATGTCCTGTTGATGCTGTGTGTAAAGACGAGAACGCCAAACTCTCCCCGCAGGAAGAGCGTCATCTCCTCTTGATACAGGCCTGGCTTCTCGATCAGGGTTAAGCGTAGCGCGTCCAGCATCGGCAGCGTGATCGATCGTCGCCTCCCGCCCCTGTTCGCAGGGGCTTTTGTAGTGTTGAAGTGGCGGGGGTTGGATTGTATCGCTTTGACCGAGCGCTTGCTGTAGCCGGCCACTGTAGCCATCTGAGCGGCTGTATGCGTCCCAGCGTCGATCATATCGCGGATCTCGACAATTAGGTTTCCAGAGTGTTCTACGACTTAGCTAAGTTGATCAATGCAATGAAGCTTGTGGAGAAGGTCACGCAAACATCATCTATGCCTCTCACCTATGCTCATCTATAGTATACGACAAGGCTGCGGTCGCCCAAGTACAATGTTCTAGTGATTATATTGACAATGGATGTCAATTTTGGTCGACGATTGAGGATGGTGCTGCAAAGCGAGTGATCAGTCGCATCCGAGGGAACTCTGGAAGCCTTGGCTCCAAGCGAGGTGTGGGCAACCGGCAACAGCGCCTCAGCAGCCTTCCTTGGCATAGATTTTCCAGACGTCCCACCAGCGCGCAACAAGTGCTTTGTCTGGCATCTGAAGGGTGTTGAAGCAGTCGCACAGAGGAGGGTTTAATCTGTCTCCGCTACCCAGCTAGATGCGCAACGGTGCCACCTCTAGCCGGGGACAGCACCACGTACAGCGACAATTGAGCGTACAGTGACTCGACCAACATCTATGGTAACATCTATATCGACGTGCACTTCAATCGTCAGCGACTTGACGCGTCGCTGCGAGCTGCTGCTGCTATAACGGAACATGTTGTCTTCATTTGTGATGCCATTCGATTGATTTACTGAAACGATAGTTAGCCCACATTGTGTTTGCTGCTATCAAGAATCGCCAGGAATGTGCAGCCTCGATCTGAGTGCAGCTTACGTGAGAGCCCAGGGCCGCGGGACGAATCAAACCCGCAGACAGAGGCACACTAGTAACCAATAGATGCATAGTATTGTCGCTAGCCCCCAGCTGGCATATCGTATAGCTCGCATCTCTTCGATCTTGTTCGATTCTCAACGCAAATCTACTCCATTAAATCATCCCACGATTTCGCTTACATAGGCTGGTTTTTCACTTGACCCGCTCGAAGTGATGCCACTGGATTAAGCAGCCTCGACGATCCCAACTCTATGCGGCTTGCTTTGAAGGACACACGAGCAACGTCTACTAACTACCCTTTTGGAGCTCAACAGTGCCAAATGATCACGAGATACTCAGCCATTGTTGGGAGCGACCGCGAGACCTGGCAAAAGATCAGGAACACAATCAAGACACGAGAACACCAGATATTGAGTGATATCGCCAGGCACAAACTTGAGGTCTTCCTCCCGCTCGCCTTGTCTGTCACTCCAACAAGTGGTGGACCATCCACAACATCAACTTGTTGTCACCTCATGCGCTGAACTGTTTTACAGCAAAATTTGCTTCCATTCTGTTTTGTTGCGGTGCAAGTCGGTCCAACAGGCCTTGATCGTCACCTCCGTTGACTACCTTGGACTAGGACGTCTCAGGGCATGTATATACGGTCGCCCCCTAGCTAGCAAGCAACTCAGCGCAGTTTCCATCAACTATACAGCGGCTACGTCTGCCGCAACATGTTCCACTCAACACGCCTCATACAGCTTCGACTGCTAGTCCCCACCTCACAGGCTTGGTAGCCCTGTTCAAGAGCGAAACTTTGGATACTTTGGGTAGCACAGCGTGAGCCACCAAGAAAAATAACAGAACCAACACAGGTATTCACTCGTGTCTGTTAGATAGCTGACGAAATATATAAGGGATCAAAAGCAGCGGAGGTAGAGTGCTCTACGAACCATACCTCTGTGTGTCGAAGTCTTGCCTAATCACTCCAGATTGTGATCTACCATACGGCGGATGTCTTCCATAATTTCGGAAACCGTCGAATTATCTCCCATCCAGCATTTTCGTACAACAGAGCCAGCTGGAATAGTTTCTAGTGGAGGAAATTCGCACTCTCTGAAACGCCTTTGAACTTCATCCTCATCTTCTGCAGAATTGAGATTAGGAAATGGTGGCTGGCCGCTTATCATAACGTAAATAGCTGTTCCTAGCGCAAACATATCCGTTCTCTTATTGAAGAGGTTTGCATCTGGTTGTGGCATCGAAGACATGGTGCTCTCGGCTGCCCCTCTATTGAGCTTGATTGATTCATCATGATCTAGTACTCTTCCTTCGAAATCACATATCTTGACTTCTAGATTGCTGTCCAGAAGGTTGCCAATGCTGATGTCACAATGCAGGACGCCTTTGTTGTGAATGTGAGCAAGGCCCTTCGCCGCCTGACATGCCCATTTTACCCTCTGACTGAACGGCGTTCGAGCAGCATCTGTCCAGAGATACTTTTCCACGGACCTGTTGGTCATGAGATAGTCCATTATCTGTAGCCAACATTCAAAACAGAGCATTTACAGACATTGCAGGGAGTGAAAGGAAAATATTAACGTACCTCACGGGCGAGTGGCCGGCCCGGGCGAGTTACCTACCGGATTTTGCCAAGGCCACACCAAACTTCATACAACCTGCAATGTCTCAACGCAACAAGACTTAAAGCGACTTATAGGAATTAGCTATACAGCTTGCTATCTAGACTCTTAAGCAAGAAGCGACTCTTACTATTCTGCAAGCTGCAACAATCTACAAGGTATTAGAAAGAACACTAACGTACCTCACGGGCGAGTGGCCGGCCCAGGCGAGTGACCGGATTTTGCCAAGACCACACCAAACTTCAACTTCTCTTGCATATTACAGCAAGTTACTGTAAGTTACTAATGTATTCCATCATCGAGTGGATCAACTCATTAAGTAGATTAAAAAAGCTTGGCAGCCTAAACTCATGCTAGGTATCTTTAACTTCATTGCTATTAAACAAGGAGCCTAACGTAGATTATCACCAAGCCAGCCATATCACTAAACTAGCTATTTTCTCTTAGCACAACTAATACAAGTTACTACAACTATAACTACTTACTATTAAATAGTAACCTAGTATACTGCGTGCTTATATTAGATTTAGAAGATATTTCTATACCCTCCTAGTATATTTATGCATTATGTCTAGTCTTGCTGCAGTTCCTACAGCGCTAAACAGTTAACTAAGCTCCTAGTTAACTACCTCTAACCTAAGTCTTCTTAGATAGCTAAGCTGCTACACACGCCTCAGCAGCTACCTGTGATGCTGCTGGGCCATACTTAAGTGTGCTACTATGCTAAATCTGCTTTCTCTTACGCGATTTTCTCTTAGTTATTACTACTAATTGCTCTTTAAGCTCTTACACGTAGGCCTTAATAAGGATATTTTTATATAGCATCTCTTTAGCCCCTTTTATAAGCTTTAAGAACCCCTCTTACACTATACTTAGTAATTATTAGAAGGAGTTACTTATAAGCTTAGATTAAGACCTAAACTTGTGTGTATTACTTAGCGTCTTAGATTGCTACAGTATTTTAGGTAGAGGTACTACTAGTAGGGTATACAGCTACAATTTAAGGCAATCTAACACTACCTATATATTAGTAGGAATAAGCCCTAATACCTTAAAGGCCTTTTAGTAGTTAACCTTTTTAAATATATTAAGAAATATGTCCCTAAAGGCTAGTAGGAAGCCTTCCTTATTAATATAGAAGATGTGTTAGTGTGCTAAGTCTTAAACATGTTAGGAGTACTTACACTTTAATAGCAAGAAATAGACTATGTTTGTAACAACTATGCACGAACACGACACGTGGCATAGCGCTCATAGCAGCTAGAGGCAAAGCTAGCTGGCTAGCACTATTATTGTCTATATATATTATACTACGCAACGAATACTTGCTTAGGTATTCTTGTGCTTACCTTTTGGTATAGGCAGAGAAGTCACGTAGTATTGATTTCGAGGGCAGGGCGCCTACTCTGTTACAATGTTAAGTAGCTAGAGGATGTATAATAAGTAAGGTAGTATATAGAGAGTAAGGATTTAGTTCTCTAGGTAATAGTCCTTAAACTCCTAGTTAAGATAGCTCTTATAGCTATCTAAGATAAGTAACCTGTACACTCCTACCTAACACGTCTTTATATATGTGTTAAAGTACTTTAACTACCTAAGGCTAAGTATATTATTTATCTAACTATTCTTAGAGACTAAGAGCTTCTAATTATAGGGTATATCTGTCTCCTTATACTAGGCAGAGATGTGGATGCGTCCTTTGTAGATAATGAAAGGCGGGGTTGCATACCTAGCGGCGCAGATGCTCTAGATAACAGTAACCTACTCGCGATCGCCTGGCTGAACAAGCTCTAGCTAAGCACGTCTCTCTTAGCCTGTTACAACGTTTAAAGACAAAGCAACACCTATCTAGAACCTAGTTTTATTAAAGTTGTGCACGTTGTTGTTGCAAATACTATACTTAACTTAAGTATCCTCTACTAGCTTAAACTACACACTAATTATCTTAGGATCTTCCTGTAGTATCCTCTGTCTATCCTTAGCTTAATTAAAGGCTATTTTAAGCCTGTCTAAACGCGTTACAAGCCTGCTAGCCTATAGTTTGCTAACAGGCTCTTCACCACGCACACTAAGTATCTTATTAGCTATATCTGCCACCTTACATAGCTAGGGCGCAAATCCTTGCAAATTAAGGTTAAGTATATACTAGTTAATTGTCTGCTCCTCTAGTATAGTAAGTTTCTAGTAATTAGCGTGTACGTCTAGTTAAAACATAATATTGCAAAGGCAATTAGAGACCTGCTAATAAGGTACGTTCAACACTCTAGCAGCGCTGCAGATACTGCGAAATTAGCTAGCATAGAAGGCCTAGATAGCAAGGATAACTCTACCTTCTCTAGTAGTATTCTAAAGTTGTTGTTATTAAGGCATATTGTGTTAGGGTAAAAGGTGGTCGTGCTAAGAGAAAGTGGCTAGTTTGGTGATATGGCTGGCTCGGTGATAATCTACGTTATTATTGTTACAAACACTATACTTAACTTAAGTATCCTCTACTAGCTTAAACTACACACTAATTATCTTAGGATCTTCCTATAGTATCCTCTGTCTATCCTTAGCTTAATTAAAGGCTATTTTAAGCTTGTCTAAACGTGTTATAAGCCTGCTAGCCTATAGTTTACTAACAGGCTCTTCACTACGCACACTAAGTATCTTATTAGCTATATCTACTACCTTATATAGCTAGGGCGCAAATCCTTGCAAATTAAAGTTAAGTATATACTAGACAATTATCTACTCCTCTAGTATAGTAAGTTTATAGTAATTAGTGTGTATATCTAGTTAAAATATAATATTGTAAAGGTAATTAGAGACCTGCTAATAAGGTATATTTAACACTCTAGCAGCGCTGTAGATACTATAAAATTAGCTAGCATAGAAGGCCTAGATAGTAAGGATAACTCTACCTTCTCTAGTAGTATTCTAAAGTTGTTGTTGTTAAGGCATGTTGTGTTAGGGTAAAAGGTGGTCATGCTAAGAGAAAGTGGCTAGTTTGGTGATATGGCCGGCTTGGTGATAATCTATGTTATATATGTTGTGCTTGTATCTGATTTAGAAGATATCTCTATATCTTTTTCGCACGTGCGCGTGTTATGCCTAGTTCTACTGCAGTTCCCACAGCGCTGTAGAGCTGGTTAGGCTAATTCTTGATTACCACCACCACGAGCCCTTTTAGATCGCTAAGGCGCTGTAGACGCCTTAGCGGCTACCTGCGCTTAGGCTGGCGGAATGGGTATACTCCAACGTCCTTCGTGGGTACCCCCCAAAACTTTGTCAATAATACATAGATTCTAGCAAAATAGGGCTTAAAAGAAAGAAAAAAACTACCTCTATATTTCTGTAGTAGAGGGTTTTGTTATAACTATTAAACTGCACAAGCTAGAGGCTAGAAAAGGTTAAAAAAGGGGGGGTACCTAGCAAGCATACACATTAATAGGTATACTTTGCTAGGTAGTGTTAATAACTTAGCTAATACTAGGTAGAATAAGCTAATTCTTTTTTTATTAGAAGGCGCAATACTAGGCGCTTCTATTAAATAATAGATTATGTAAGCGTATCTCTGCTAGTTAAGAAGCTATAAGCCAAAACGTAAAAAAGCATACCCTACCCATCCGCCAGCCTACCTGCGCTGCAGCAGTCCTATACTCAATAGTGCTACCCTGCTAAATCTGCTTGCGCTTACGCGAATTTTGCTTAGTTATCTCTACTAGTTGCTCTTTAAGATTATAGATCTTAGCACATTAAATCGTATTTTTATATAGTATTAGCTTACCACCTTTTATAAGCCAGGAGAAGCTAGCCTAGGTTGTAATAGGTAACTAAGTAAAGGAATTGCGAACAAGCTTTAACGTAGATTATCACCGAGCCAGCCATAGAGCGTTGAAGGTTTGTTTGTTGAAGGTTTGTGTTTTGAAGTTGCGACAGCACACCATAGCAGCTGCAGCTGCAACAGCACACAACACAGCACCTGCTAGCAAACACACACACAAACACACACAAAACAGCAGCGCAACAGGAGCTTGCAGAATAGGCAGGCCTAGGTGTAAAATTCTTGGTTTAACGTAGATTATCACCAAGCCAGCTATATCACTAAACTAGCCACTTTCTCTTAGCACAACCACCTTTTACCCTAACATAATATACCTTAATAACAATAACTTTAGAATACTACTAGAGAAGGCAGAGTTATCCTTACTATCTAGGCCTTCTATACTAGCTAATTTTGTAGTATCTAGAGCACTGCTAGAGCATTAAACATACCTTATTAGTAGGTCTCTAATTACCTTTGTAATATTATGTTTTAACTAGATATACACACTAATTACTAGAAACTTACTATACTAGAGGAGCAGAAAATTGTCTAGTATATACTTATGTAACGGGCTAGGTCCGTACTAAGGTCTCGGCACTGGAGGCCTCGATCGCCGGAAGCTAACAAACGCACAAGCAGAGGCTGCCGAAACTCCACACCGGAGAGTTTCGGCGCTCGAGCTCCACACCGGTGATTATCGGCACTCGAGCTCCACACCGGATAATATCGGCATACAGACTCCGTGCTGGAGAACAAAACCCACTAGAAGTCTCCGAGCCGGAGCCTGCATCAATTCCATCTGAATCTTACTTGCACTTAGCCCTCAGCGGCCAGCTTCTTTACAACTTAACCTTAATTTGCAAGGATTTGCGCCCTAGCTATATAAGGTGGCAGATATAGCTAATAAGATACTTAGTGTGCGTAGTAAAGAGCCTATTAGTAAACTTTAGGCTAGTAGGCTTGTGATGTGTTTAGATAAGCTTAAAATAGCCTTTAATTAAGCTAAGGATAGACAGAGGATACTATAGGAAGATCCTAAGATAATTAGTGTATAGTTTAAGCTAGTAGAGGATACTTAAGTTAAGTATAGTGTTTGCAATAACAATATATATAGCTTTAATTAAACTAGGTTCTACATAGGTGTTGCTTTGTATTTAAAGGCTGTAATAGGCTTAGAGAGACGTGCTCAGCTAGAGCTTGTTTAGCCAGGCGATTATGAGTAGGTTACTGTTATCTAGAGCATCTGCGCTGCTAGGTATGCAACCCCACCTTTCATTATCTACAAAGGACGCGTCTATATCTCTGCCTAGTATAAGGAGATAGATATACCCTATAATTAGAAGCTCTTAGTCTCTAAGAATACTTAGATAAATAATATACTTAGCCTTAAGTAGTTAAAGCACTTTAACACATATATAAAGACGTGTTAGGTAGGAGTGTATAGGTTGCTTATCTTAGACAGCTATAAGAGCTATCTTAACTAGGAGTTTAAGGACTATTACCTAGAGAACTAAATCCTTACTCTCTATATACTACCTTACTTATTATACATCCTCTAGCTACTTAATATAGTCTATTTCTTACTATT